TCAAAAGATGCTAGTGAGTTGACCAATGCACACTTGTATATTCTAAATAACACAGATGAAATTCTTCCTTATATATCTGTTCATCAATCAATGTTGAAGACCCTCAACCCCAAAATGAGTAAGCGGTGGTTGGTTAATGAACATAATAATAACTTTGTTAGATGGTTTAAAACCAAAATCTTTTCTGATGACAATGCATCTGATACTTTGAAATGGCTAGCACATAGTCTTAAAAAGAACGTCGTGACTTGGATTGGGTATGACATTAACAAATACTCATTCTATACAAAGTTACAAGATGAAAAGAGTACAATCCAAAATAGTGGAATATCTATTGAGGCGACATCCATGCACTTTTCTAGTTCAAAGGATAAGAACCCAATTATGGCATCTATGAGTTACTTTGGAGTGATTGAGGATATTTGGGAGGTTGACTACATTCAATTCAAAGTTCCTATATTCAAATGTAAATAGATTGATATTAATACTGGTGTTCAGACTGATCAAATGGGATTCACTTTGATAGACCTTAAGAAAATATCACATAAGGAGGAACCATTCATAATGGTGTATCATGCAAAACAAGTTTTTTATATAATTGATCCATGTAATGACAGATGGTCAGTGGTACTCCAAGCAAAAGGGAATGATGTGATGCATGAAGATGATGATGAATCAAATGATATTATTAACATCCCCACTCCATCACGGATGCATAGTACTATTGAGGATATGCAAGAAGAATTAGTTCATACTATTCGTAAAGATCATGACGAAGGCATACAGGAAAATTTAATTATTTAAATTATGTTATATTACAAATTATAGCTAATTTGTGTTTATATTTCAAATTATAGCTAATTTGTGCTTATATTTCAAATATGTAATAAATTATGTTTATATTTCAAATATGTGATAAATTGTGTTTATATTTCAAGATATGCAAAAAACGTAACTATTTGTTTTTTTTTTTTTTGAACAGGCAAATGACATCTCCTCCAAGCATGTCCCGCGATATCTCCGACATCTCCACCCCCCCCCAATGTCCAAAGAGGACTCGACAAGCTACACAATTGAAAAGCTTGACCGTTCGTCATATGACAGGAGATAAATTGGCTATGATTGTGGATCCAAAGACTGGCAAAATATCAGGGCCACATCACACCCAATTCAGGTTCTACTTGGGTACTCTTGCTAGAGAAAAGGTATCTAAATTTTTAAAGTTTTTAAGTTGTTATGCATATATGTTCAACATGTGTAAATGGATTGATATCTAAATTTTTAAGTTCATAATTAGGTATCTATTTTGCATCTATCTTGGGATTATGTGGAGGAGACTTGCAAAAATTTAATTTGACAAGATATTGTGGTTACTTTTCTTAACTATTTAAGTTATGTTGAGTTAAGTTTGATCCTAAACTTTGTTATATTAATTTATTTTGTTGTTCTTGCAGAATCACTTCGATATTGTTAACTCTGGACAAGTTAGGAGGAAAGTCATGTCATCTATTGCCAAAATGTGGAGACAATTCAAGTCGACATTGACTTCGAAATAGATATTTGATGAGCAAGCCGTTAGCAAAGGATTAACTCCTTGTCAGCATTATGGCATAAATGAGGAGACTTGGAAGCAGTTTGTCAATATTAAGACTGGTCCATAGTGGGAGGTATGTTACTATTTAAATACTTTGGTATGTTTTCACATTGTCTTATTAATTTAGCACATTCAAAACTATATTATGTTGCAGGAGAAATGAATAAAAGGAAAGGAGATTAAGAGACTAAATGTGGCCCCCCACCGTCTGTCTCGTGGGGGGTATTATTTGTTGACGCAATGCATGATGGAGGAGAAGGATAAACCCCAAGAAGCTAAGTTAGCCTCCTCTGGTGTAAGCTAGGAGGAAATTTCCCCACCATCTCCTCCAAAGCGTCATCAAAAATGGAAGAGGGCTCGCCAGAAGCCCTCAGGTGAAATGACATCAGAGGAGGCCCGCTTGATTACTGAGCGGATTGTAAGTCAAATTTGTTTCTTTCAACCTTATTAACCTTGCTTTGTCATTCATCAATTTTTTTTTGCAATATATAATGCTCAATTGTATGATTCTTTAAAGGAGCAGTTTACACAGGGAACATTCGTTCCCCGTGGTCGTGAAGATATCTTAACTGCTGCTATTGGACGCCCAGAACACCCAGGGCGTGTTCGTGCTGTTGGAGCTGGGTGTGGGTATTTGAGCATATTTTGGAGCTGCATCATCAGAGCATACTCACACCACATCATTGAGCCAACAGGAGATGGCCAAGTTGGAGGATAGTCTAACGGTGAAGCTGAGACTAGCGATGGTTGAAGAGCTGACAGCGATACTGACACCAGCCATTATCGCATGAGTCCAGCAGGAGATGATGCGTGTATTTGGTTCAAGTCTAGCATCCATGGGTGTCACACAGCCTCCCCACCACCTATGGATGTTCCTCCTCCATCTACCGCACGGGTTAGCACTAACGGTAGTTGTGCTGACCTCAATGTTGCTGATGAAGAGCCTCCTGCTTCTAATGAAGAGGTTGTTTTTTATGCTACTGCAGCTGAAGTTATTATTGCATACAACACTGACCAGTCAGATATGTGTGGATTATATCTTGATGACAAAAATTAATGTGCATATTAAATAATTAATGTCTTATTTTTGTGTAATCAGGTCAATGTGAATTTTATGTTGATGAGGATGGATCTGAACCACGATTGGTGGCAGTTGGTTCAGTTGAAGAGGGGGCCTCTACAATTCATAGTGTGCTTTTAGCACCTAACTTGACCAAAGTGGTCGTTGAAGAGGTTTGAGATGCTTCTGCTCATGTACCTGTGCCCACAGACGAGGTGATGATAGTGGGACAGACCCTCCAGACCTTCATTGCATGACCTAGACATCTAATAAGGCCTATTTTGAAAAAAAGTTTGCATTTTTTTTCTTAATTATCATATGTAGTCTCGTGCTGTTTTTTATTTTTTTGTTTCAATGTTATTTTATGTAGGATGTTCAGAAGCCACCCCAGTTGCCTAATCCGGTACCTACTTCCCAACCTAGTAAAGGTAAGGAAGTAGATGTCCCAGAAAATCCAATTTTTCAACTGCTATATGTTGTCCCACAGTTGTATATTCAATCTTTTCAAGTGAAGTGGGATGCAGATAAGTTAGGAGTAGACAATAAGAACTTTCCCCTTTACATTGCTCACACCGATGCTGTGGAGATAGCAATTGGAAGTCAGTGTCTAAACATAACAATGTTACAATTTTGGACAATGTAAGTATATATTTTTATTTACTAATTATATTATTTGAAGTTATTGGCATATTTAATGTACTTTGAACTGCCTACTTTAGGATGATGAATGAATTGTTGGAACAACAATGCACCCAAGATATGTATGGATTTTTTGAGCCCCAATCCATACAAAAATCAAGAAACAAGAGAGAAGAAGCTCAAATATACATCCAGAATTGGATGATGAAGTCAAGGAAGAAAGTTTACTTGGGTGCTTACTTATATCAGTAAGTATTTTAGCGTATGAAATTATTCACATTAACTTTTATAGTATATTTTATGTATTCTAACTTTTTGTAATGTTACCGGACATCATTGGCAGCTGCTGGTTGTTTGCTCAAAGGAGAATGTTGTGGCTTGGTTATGCTCATTGGGCAAGAGATCTGATGCAGATATTAAATACATTGTAAACAGGTACACATTCTTATAATAATTTACACAATTATTAACCATTTTGTTACTTAATTGTTTCATTATATTTTGTATTGCACAGTACATTTAAGGTTTGCAATACAATCGATGGAGTACACAGAAGCAGAAACACGAATTCAAATTGGATTTTTGTTAATGTAAGTCATTCTATACTTATGTATTATATGATTCATTTTATATCTGAAATTAATATATTATTTTTTATAGTGTAATAGGCAACCAGGATCTTATGAGTGCAGATATTATGTTATGCACTAGATGTGACTGATTATTGTTAGCAAGACTGAGGATACATGGAATCAGGTTAGCTTAAATTTAGTATTCAATTAAATTCAAAATTGTGTCATTGGATACTCTGTTAAATTATATTGTTTTCTTGTAACAGGTATTTTCAGACAGAGAAGCATTGCTCATAGAGACCATAGAGGATATTAGAAAGATCTGCGCCAAAAAGTTTCTTGAAGTTAGAAATAGGCAAGTTTAGTTATTAATTTACTAGTTAGTTTAGTAGTTAAATTAGTAGTTAGATTAGTAGTTAGTGTATTTGTTAGATAAGTGTAATTGGATACACATTCAATTATTATACTTTGTAATTTTGGATACAATTATTATTTTTGGATGCACATTCAATTACTTTGTATCTTGTATATTGTCTGTCTGGGTTATATTTAAATTTGCACGTACATTGTATACAACATTGGGAGGCCCTGTATAAACAAAGCAGGGATTTAAAAAAAAAAACATAAACTTTCTACGTCGATTATTTCCATAACTGACGTAGAAAGTTATACAATCAACGTCGGTTTGTACCATAACCAATGTTAAAACCCACGTGCATTTTTTCTTCTTTTTTTATCTTAAGAGTTAGCATTTCTACATCGGTTTGGCCAACCGACGTGATTTTTTAAATACTTTCCACGTCGATTTTAACAATCAAAGTTGTAAGTCAATTATAGTTCCTTTTTAACGTTGTTTATATTAAACGACGTTGTTTTATAGTATATATAACATCAGTTATATAGAATCGACGTTGAAAGTCTACACTTTCAATGTCTCCTGATACAACGTCGGTTGTAGAACTACCGTTGAAGGTCTTCCAGAATCGACGTAGAAAGTCTTATATGTAATAGTGAATTAATGGTAAATAAATAATGATGAGATTCAATTATAGGTTTATTTTTTTATCTTGAAATTTAACATATGAGGAGTTAAAAAAAAAAACAAACAAAAAAAGGAAAGGAAAGAGTTTCATACCAATATAAGATAAAATACCATTCATTGAGTTATATGAAAGGTTCAAGGTCTCCAACTTCATCAATCTTGGAAGTCCTGCAAAGAAACATATCCATCACAAATTCAAATTTTGAAACAAACGAAAGACTTTTTTAAGTACATAAATAAATAAAAATGAAAATTATTTAATGACAATCGATAGTGTAATATTGAAATTATTTACAAATCTATATAATAATATAATAATAATACATTGTTATTTTTATTATTATTGTTTTAATTGCTTGTAAACTAACGGCTACTCTTTGAAATAGGATGAAAAATCTAACCTTTGCCAATCCAACCTTGATAGTCATTGCTAGACAAGTCGAGGTTGAGCAACTCTTCAAAAGGACTAAACAATGAACCGTTTGCCAAATGAGCATTCCTTGAATTGAGACTGTCGAGAAGCAAGTGTGTTACATGGCCACTTGAGATATTAGAACATTTCACTCTGTTCCAGCCACAACAATTGCTACTTCTATCATCAACCCATGAACCCAATTCCAAGTCATTGAACACATCCCGACCTAGTGATAAGATATAGCCCTTGATTTCAAGTAGACCAATTCTCTCCTTCTCCAAGCACCCATCACACCCTAAAAGTGCCACAGAACATAACAACATACTCACTCCCACACCCAACCTCATTTCTAAGCAACTATGAAGTCATTTCCTTCCGCTAATTACGAATAAATATGTGATACAAAAAACTGTTTTGACTTTTCTACTCTTTGAAAATTCAACAAAGGAAATTTCTGGCGAGTTTCTACTGCCCAATTAAACTTTAAGAAGGCTTTGCCCTATTATTATGGGTAAATTTATTGATGGTGTCTTTTCTTTTGTTTCAGCGTTACTGTAACACGCTATAGACTTTTGGGCGTGTTTGCCCCGCCACAATTTCCAACCACAAGACTATTTCGGAAGAGAAGATCGAAATTAATGAGTGGGCGGGGCACCACCAAACTAAACTAGACCAAGTCCCCTTTTTTTTCGAGTAAGTATTCGAACGAAATTTCTTCCTATCTCACTTAAAGGTGCTACGAATTCAAGTTATATCCTACACCTCTTCACACACACTTCTTATGTAACACTAACTGGCTTTCAAGTCCAATCCGTACAAGCTGATCATCTTGATCCAAGAGTTCAATTTATAAAATAAAAAAAAAAAATACAGGAAGCAAAAGCATATTAAACCCAAAAATTAATATACATAACTACTATTCTTTTTTTTTTATTTTTCTGTTCTCTCCATCCATGTATCTAAGATTTAATTAATACAACAAAAGCATGAAATGGTCAGTGCATTAACCGTTCCCATACTCTCCCACTCTCTACTCCTATCCCTCCAGTTCAAACAGAATGCCCGAATGCAGGTAACTTGCACAATTATTTTTTGAACAAGCTCGCCAGTTCACCTTTCTCATACATGGAGGTCAATATATCACAACCTCCAACCAATTCACCATCCACAAAAATCTGAGGGAATGTGGGCCAGTTGCTGTACTTTTTAAGGGTTTCCCTCAATCCGTAGTTATACTCTTCATCCAGTACATTTACACTCTCATAATCTACTGCTTCATTTTCAAGAATCGCTATCACCCTCTGTGAGAATCCACATAATGGTGCACTTCTAGAGCCCTTAATGAATGCAACTACTTTGTTCTCTTTCACCAAAGTGTCAATGAGGTTCTCAAGAGGGACAGTTAATTGCACATGGCGGCCAGGTGTTAATCGAAGATCAGGCTTCCTTTTAGGTGGCTGCCTGACCCAAGTGGCATTTCCTGATTCATTGCCAGGTGGAACTTTTCCGCTGACTTTTATGTATTCTTCCATCCAAGCCTTCCATGCTTGGGTTAGAGCTTCTCTGTCTGGTTCCTCCACTATCCCAGCCTACAACAGAAATTTCACCAAGAAAAACCACCATCAGCGAAGTAATACAAGTGGAAATTTGGAGAATTGTGATCTTAATCATATTAAAAATTTTCAACAAAGGCAAATTATTATGATGTGTTTTAAGAGAAAAAGAGTTTATAGGAGATCGTATCACTTCCAAAACTGTCTGTCATCTGTGCTTTTTAGTCTACTTTGTTGTCTTAAATAATTTAAAAAAACAAAAAAGACACAGATTGTGATTTACAAGTTATTATTAATATGATTACTTTGACCATTTGTATAGTTTTCCATTTCTTTAATCAAAATAGTTCAGGGAGATGAGTAAATCACCTTTCGTAAAGCTTCCTAACTCATTTGGTTGAATAGAAGTGACAATATTATGCGAAGGCATTAGTCAAGGTTGGAAGGAATAAAGTTCATGTTCATACAACTCCAAACAATGTTACACAAAGAGTGTTCAAAATATTAGATTCCACTAATTGACACAATAAAGCACAAATCTGAAAATCAGTCTTCTTTCATTGTGGAGCTTAATGTGAAGGTACTTGACTTCAGTCTTCTTAAATGATCATGGAAACCATGGCCAAGGAGCCAAAGTTCAATTGAACTAGACCAAAACAGGTAGTTTTTTCCATTTAGTTTTTCAAAAGTTATAATAGGAGTTTCGGAACAAGATGTAGTAGTTCCTAAAGACATTGTTGAAATAGGGTAGAGGTAAAGATAGGGAAAACAGTCCTGCAATAAAATAAAATAAAAATAGGTTGCAAAAGAGAGAAACCTTAACAATAAAACAAACAATACAAAAAGAGCATCAAACAGTACCAAAACAGTATCAATGCAGAACATGTCAAACAGTACTGAAATAGTGAATCAAGGACAAAAGGTGCCCAGATTGAGCCAGCAAGTCCAATGAAGGTGGTTGAGATAGTGATCAGATGGTGTTTCTCGTACTGGACAAGACAAGACAGAGATAGGCAAAATGGGATCGATCCTCTTTAATACCAACTTGAGATAAATTAAATGAAAAAGAAATATTTGAGAGACTTAATTTCTCTCTCTTAGTTCTCATATTTATAATAAGAATGGTAGTTTAGATACAACAAATGAAAGAGAGAAGAAGGGAATAAGAAAAGACATATCTAATTCCTAAATACAAACTAACCCTAGGTAAAGCACTAAACAACTTTTCAATAAAGTTTATGTAAGAATTATTCTAACACACCCCAAGTTGAAACATACAAATTGAATGTACCAAGTTTGGAACAAATAAATTCAATCTGAGTTTCTCTCAAGGATTTGTTAATGCATTTGCATATTGATCATTAGATCCAACAAACTAAATACAAATTTCCTCAGACAACGACTTTTCCCAAATAAAAGGACAGTCAATTTTTGGGTTTAGTTCTCTAATGAAACACGGGATACAAAACAATGTGAAGAGCAGCTTGGTTAACACAGTAGATATTTATTGCTTAATCTCATAAAAATCTAATTCTTGGAGGAACTGTTTTACTCATACAAGCTCACAATGAGAGATGTCATTATCCTATACAGTTGATTAGGCAACCACATTTTGTTTCTTTCATTTCCAAGAGATGATATTTCCTCTAATAAAGACACAATATCCTGTAATAGAGCATTTGTTTATAGGAGAATCTACCTAATCAACATCACAATACCCACCAAAGATTTGAGTATTTCTTTTGTCTTCATTAAATAGACCTTGTACTGAAGTCTTTTTGAGGCATCCTAGAATACAAATGACAGCATTTCAATGATCAATACAAAGAGTCTGCATGATTTGATTCATAACACCAAATACAAAAGATAAATTTGGTCTAGTAATGGTAAAATAAATAAGTTTTCCAACTAGTCTTTTATACTTTTCTGGTTCAGAGAAAGTTTGACCTTGTTCTGCCATTAATTTCTAATTTAGATTCATACGACTGTCCAATGATTTATAATCAATCATACTTGTCTCTTTTAGAATATCTGAAGCATTTTTCTTTTGAGAAATTACAACACCTTCCTTTGATTGGGCTAATTCAATATCCAACAAATTTTGAGACTCTCAAGATTCTTGATTAAAATTATTGCATAGCTATTCCTTTAACTCAGAGAGTTTAGCAACATCATTCCCTATAATGACTATGCCATTAACATATACTATCAAATACACACATTTTCCAAGGAAGGTATGATAATAAAAAACATAATGATATCTCTCACTACATTTTAGCCCAAAGATTTGAATAATGTGGCTGAACTTTTCAAACCAAGCATGTGAAGATTGCTTAAGAGGGAAATTAAGTCTCTCAAATATATTTCTCTTCCATTTAATTTATTTTATGTTGGTATCACAGCGAGTTAATCTCACTCTATCTGTCTTTGTCTTGTGTGAAAAATGCGGTCTAGTCACTGTCTACCACTGTCATTCAACTAGCCCAACTCTTTATAGCACAATATGTATATCACAACTCTCTTAATTTAAAAATAAAAAACCTGTCATCCCTTCCTTCTCCTCAAAAAATTAACTTTCCCTTCATTTTGGATAAACTTTTCCATACGTACATCAAGGAAAAACAATAAAAAAAAATGAAATAAGTTTCACGTAAACTAAAATTATGTATGCATGAGTTAAAAAAACATCTTCTAGAGAAGCTAAATGAAAAGTTTCCATAAATTAGCTTAAATATAAACTAATTTCAGCTTATGAAAATGTTTATTATGTTTTTCTTTCTCATTCTCTTTCCCTACAAGTACTTATGAAAATGTTTATCTAAAAGCCAAAACCTAAAAATCATAACAGGCTCAAAGCATTTCACAGGGCTAAATAGTACTTCAAGGATACACTAGTAGTAACAAAGTCACTAAAGTCCACACAACCAATGAATAAAAAGAAACTGGAAATTAATAAAATGTTTCATCACATCACGAAGTTGAACACATATCTGATAAAAACAAATAAAATTAAAAACACAACACGCACACGAGGGAGGAGGAGAAGAGCGAGAGAATTTACTCACAAATTGATACACTACCTCACTGATTACAAAATTTACTCTCTGATTTACATTCATTTTATCCGACATGCTGCCCCATGCCTTTTATAGCGTTTAAAATAAAATAATATAATCAAGAAAAAGCAAAACTTAATTCTAAGAAATAGTGGCGATGCATTAAACATGGAGGCTGAATGTTATACTCCTGCAGTGCAGCTCTAGTTAAATAGTTCAGTTTGATATGTATAGTCTTTTTTTTTTAATTGCCACTGCCTTAGTGATGAAGCGATTATTTCTCTAATAAAAAAGACCTAACTTGATTTAATATCTGACATGATCAAACAACCCAAGAGTGCACCACACAAAACGAACCATTCTCCAAGTCATAAATTTCTCACTGACCAAAAATTACGTGAAACAACGAGAATACACATTCCCTCCTTCTCAGACATCTCAATATAGAACCCAGAAAAACCCTCACCTTAACGGATCCACACAGCTCCGGCACCGATTTCCAGTGCGCCGAAACGCTCGCCGCAATGTTTCGCGACAGACCGATGAACTGAACCTCGCCGACCTTGTCGTACACGGCGTAGACGCCGGCGCCCGACGGCAGTTTCTCAGCGAGTTCGTCGTTCTCCGGCGAAACCGATACTGCCTCCGTTTCGTCGAGGCCCTTCACGGCCAGCGCCACCACACGCGTGCGAGGCTTCTCTGAAATGTAGGGTTTCAGAGAAATTAGGAGCGGGTTCGCGGAGAGTTTTGGTTGACAATTGAAGGAAAGCGCAGGAGTATTTTGGGGGAAAGAAGAGAATAAACGATGGAAGGAGAGAGATTGCAACGAAGAGAGATTGAGGGAAGCCATTGATGAATGATGTACGAGAGAGAAGAAACTGTCAGTCTTGTTACAACGATAGAGTGAGTACTGCTTCAGAGTGAATACAATTTTTGCCGAAGTCCAATGAGATTGTTTTACATTGGGCACATTTACCTATGAAAGCTGTTTCTTCCTGTACCCCGAACTTTCTTTATGTATCCATATTTATCTAATATCTAAAATGATAATATTAGTTCTAATATAAATAAGTTGTAGAAAATTCATTCTAAAATTTTCTTAAATTGATTTTTTTTAAGTTTTTAAGAAAATATTCCAGAATTTTGTTTTTGGAAATATATTTTGATTCCATAACGTTTTTAAAAAGCTTTCAAAATAGTTAATTATGATTATCTGGAATGAGTTTAGGATTTTATTTTTTAAAAATATATTTTAAATTTAACAATATGAAAATAATACATTTATGAAAAATAAAAATTTAAACTAATTTTTAAATTGAAGAATCTAAAATATATTTTCAAAAAATACAATCCAAAAATAAATTTTAAATTATTAAAGATAGAATATATTTCAGGAGAATATAATCGAAAAATGACTTTTGGATTATCTTATCCATGTTGTATTTTATAGAAATATCTCGCATTCAATAATTCAGTAAGAATACTACAAATACAACTCAAATACATTTTTTTTTTTTTACAAAAATTTTAGATACACACTATTTATTTAAAGCATAAATTAATAACAAATTTCTAACCTTAAAAAGTGAAAACAACGAATGAAGGTGCTGATGATGATATAAAGAGAAGACGCGGAATAAGAAAATTAACCTCGTAATAATTTTTTACATTTTACATAGATTATAAGATGCAAAAGGAGTATAAGAGGAAAGAACCTAAAATATCCTTATTAGTGTTACATATATTCTCGTAATAATTTTTTACATTTTACATAGATTATAAGATGCAAAAGGAGTATAGGAGGAAAGAACCTAAAATATCCTTATTAGTGTTACATATATTCTCTAATCGTGATCAAATTTCGATTATGCAGTTAATAGCTCATGATTTCACTTAATTCATTAAATATAATTATTAATAACGAACTAAGATATATCAACAAAGTTAAAGTGAACAAGAGAGAGATGTCATCAGGATATAGAGAGATGGAAAGATGGAGGAACCTCGTTCTTCTTTTTCAGATTTTTAGACGATTACGGTGTAAGGGACATATGGAAAATTTTTACAGGATGGAGAAAGGTAATCAACATATTTATATCCCAAAAAAGAAACAAACTCGACCAGCGCTTTGGTTTTGTGAGATTCGTAAATGTGGGAAATGTCAAGCAAATGGAAAAAAACCTAGATGGTATTTGGATTGGAACAACAAAGATGCATGTTAACATACTTAGGTACAAAAGACACGAACTTCAGTCAAATTAGGCGAACATAGAATCAAATCGGGCGAATATAGAACCAAAAATTAAGCAGGTATGGAGGAGGAAAGTCGATCATTGGTCTTTTGCAAACGTTGTGAAAGGAAATGAGGAAATCACAGCAAGCGAGGAAGAGTGGAAGGGAAGAACAATGACAGTGGAGGAGAATGTGCAGAAATGGATGGAAGACAGCTTCATCGCTGAAGCAGCGAGAGGAATAAGTAAGTCAGAAATGGAAAGTAACTTGTTTCTGAACGGTATATACAATGTCCACGTGAAGGAAATGGGAGACAATCTATTTCTCATCAGCGGAAATTCGGTGGAGGAACTAACAGGAATAGTGGAAGCAAATTCTGAATGGCTCTCTAAGCTATTCACATCCATAATTAGATGGGACAAAAATATGGTGAGCGGAAATAAACAGGTATGGGCAAGATGCAGGGGTATCCCAATAGCTCTTTGGTCGGAAAAAACTTTCAAGAACGTGGTATCAGTACTGGGAACTTTGCTAGAGGTGGATGAGAAAACTAAAAAGTGACAACGCTTGGATTATGCAAGAATTAAAATCAAATTGCCAATTTCAACTCAAGCAACATTGGCTCAGAGGATAAAAATTAATGGCAGAGTACACATGGTAGTGATAGAAGAATAATGGACGGAAAAGGGATTCAGATGCGCTACATGTGAAGGCAAAGACAATGAAGAGGAGGAAGAGTCAAAGGAGGCGCTAGAGATCATTTCATCAAACTCGGAATGCTTTGTGGATGAAGACGGGATCGGAAAGCGAATTTTTCTGGCAAGGGATGCACAAAATTCCGATGGAGGGAATTCTGAACCCAGCATGCCGTTGAAACTCAACGGTAAGAAATCTGAGGAACATATTATCTCAGAGGCGAGCGCGTCAGATTGTACCTGCAAAAGCAGATAAGCTGAGGTAGAGACAATCAATGTTCATGCTAGCAGGAAAAATTTAATCTTGGGCCTCAACGAGAGGGAACGGGTTGGGATTTTACACGAAGAATATATGTTGGCCCATTATGTCCAAAATCTGGAGCCCACGTGCACAACCAAATTAGATTTGGCTAGTTTTGAAATCGGGCACGAGACTTGTCTATCCCACGCGGTGGAACCAAATTGGGAGGCCAAATCCCTAGAGAAGGGTGGTTTGGATCCTCCGCCCAAACTCTCGCTCGCATACATAGCCAACTATACAGAGGATAAGCAGGGGATGACTCTGGCAAAGGCTATCACCGTTGGAGAGGCATCAGAATCGAAACGAGATGGAGAACATAACCGAAAGGAAAAGGCGTCAGAAGTTCAAGATGTGGCTGGCTCTCACTCTCGATGTTCAAAATCAGAGGCAAACCGGTCCGACAAAGAGGTGGTCAGTGATTCACTCGCCCATGGTGCAGAGGAGGCGCTGGAAAAGGGAAAGGGCATGACTAAAGATTCAACTGAAGAAGACGGAGTCAAACGCATTTCAGTGGAAGGCGAATGGGTGGATCAAGCATGCGTTGCTCCTCAGAGAACAAATCAAGTTGGTCTTGCAATTAATAATTTGGTCAAGGGAAGTAAAGTAGATGCAGCCCGGAAAGGATCTAAGAGCTAGCGAGAAGGCGAGATGATCAGTGGAAGAGGGGAAGCGAGCAACTTCGGTCAGTCTAGATCAGTTGCCTCGGCCAAAAGCTTACGCAAGGAGAAGTGGTTAGATTTCTTCTCTGGTAATTATATTAATGATAGCAACATAGAAAATTGTAATAGGCTGTTCTGGATAAACAAAGGGTATTAGGAAGCGGTTATATTATGGGAGATAGGGAGAGAGATAGGGTTCACATACGAAAGGGATAACAATTTGGTCATAAATAAACTGAAGGAGATAGATGAAGAGGGGAGATACAGTGATCCATGAGGGTGTTGAGCTATTAGGAGCCCTGGGAAAATTAAATACATAAGGGAACTGATAAATAAGGAAGGGATAGAGATGGTATATATACAAGAGACAAAATTAACTAAACAGAATGAGAGTATATGTTACAACATATGGAACCATAATAATATTCAATGGGTATTTAAGCATGCAGAGAATGGGTCAGGAGGGATTTTAAGCACCTGGGATATGAATAAGTTTGAGTGTGAAAATATGGTTATAGGAGAAGGGCTAATAGCAGTAGCGGGAAAATATAAGAGAAAGAACATAAAATTGACAGTGGTAAACATTTACTTTTCTTATGTAATGAAGGAAAAATATAAATTGTGGGAAGACATACATCTGAGTGTCCAAAATCTGTCAAGCAAGGTTTATTGTGTGATAGGAGACTTCAACACAGTAAAAAAACCTGAAGAGAGAAAAGGAAGTAGTGAAAGAGGTAGAGTAACGAAAGAAATGAGAATATTTAATGAATTCATCCAGAAATTGGAGGCTCGGGATTTACCGATTGTTGGAAGGAAGTTTACATGGTACAGAATAGATGGCTCTTCAATGAGTAGGTTGGATAGAGCATTGGTATCTATGGAGTGGATTCGCGAGTGGAAAGGGAGTAAACAATACATCTTAGACAGAAGTATCTCAGATCACTGCGCGATAGTAATAAAAGAAAATAACATAGATTGGGGACCCAAACCCTTTAGATCTCTGGATGTATGGAATGAAGATAAGAGGTTTAGGGAGGAGGTAAAAGGGGTTTGGGAAGGTACGAAAACCATAGGTTGGGGAATTAAAAGTTGGTCCAAGAAGTTACAGATGCTTAAAAATCACCTAAAAAGATGGAATAGAGAGGCGTTTGGGAACTTGAATCTGGCAAGACAAAGTATAATAAACAATATTAGTGTGATGGACCATAAAGATGAACTAAACCAGTTATACGAAGAAGGAAAGAAGGAAAGAAGGATGTGTCAAATAGAATTGAGAAAAATAATTTTGAAGATTGCATCTATGGAAAAGCAAAAGATAAGAGATAGGTGGATAAATGAAGGGGACATAAACTCAAAGTTCTACCACTCTATGATTAGATGGAAAAGAAGGAAGGTGGAATTACCAAGGGTTATGGTTAGAGGGGTTTGGTGTCAAGAACCAGAAAGAGTAAAAGAAGAGGTCTTACAACAATTTAAAACTAGATTCAAACGAGAAACAAAAGTGGAATCAAACTAGATGGGATTTCGTTTAAAGGAATAACTGATATACAAAATGAGGCTCTGGTTAGAGAAATATCTGAGGAAGAAACAAAGAGGCAGTTTGGAGTTGCGAAGGTAGTAAAAGCCCAGGGCCTGATGGTTTCAATTTCAGCTTTATAAAGCATAATTGGTCTACATTGAAGACGGATATAATTAAATCAATTAAAGAATTTTAGAGGGAAGGAAATATACCAAAAGGATGCAATGCCTTGTTCATCGCACTCATCCCAAAAGTAGAAATCCCTATGGAATTGGATGAATATAGACCTATATCCCTTATAGGTAGCCTGCACAAGATTCTAGCAAAGGTTTTAGCAGGGCGCCTGAAAGAAGTGCTAAATAAGGTAATAAGCGAGTGTCAATCTGCTTTCTTGGAAGGTAGAGGTCTCTTGGATAGTGTTGTGACTGCAAACGAGGTAATACA